AGCAGATAAACTAAAGATAATACATAGCACATAAGAGTACTTTGAAAATAAGATTGTGTTATAAATATATATGTTTATATATATATATATATATATATATATATATATATATATATATATATATATATATATATATATATATATATATATATATTTCAAAAATGTTTTCTTACACTAACCTACTGAAGAGCAAATATGGCATTTCTATATGAACTTATCAGGGAGTCTGATGTCATGGACAACCAGATTAATCTACATGTACGTTACATGAAATGTTTATATATCAAAATGACTTATTTTGGCCCTGTGTTTTCAAGATTTATAAAAGATTTTTAGCTAACCTGAGCCAAAGGCCAGTTTTCTGATTAAAAGTGTCCGTCGTCTATCTGTTGTGTGTAGTCTGTAAACTTACCACATTTTAGCTTCTACAGAACTACTGGGCGAGCTTTAACTAAACGTGCCACAAAGCATACTTGGGTAAAGAGGATTTAAGTTTTTTTTTTTTTTTTTTTTTTTTTTTTTTTTTTTTTACAAATGAAGTGCCACGTCCTCTTTCAAGCAAAGATAATTAAGAATTGGTAAAAACTTGGTGGCTTCTTTTAAAAATCTTTTTCCCAAGAACCAATGGACCAGAAAAGCTGAAACTTATACTTTAAACACTATTTATTCAAAAAAAAAAATCTGATCGGATTGTTCAACAAGCAATGCCTAAAACATCATTTCGATACAAAAATTAAAGACAAACGTGTATATAAAATGTACTGAATGATATAACATAGTACAATACGGATAAAGGAACACACACACACACACACACACACACACAGAGAGAGAGAGAGAGAGAGAGAGATGAGCATAAAGTTTAGATAAATGAATACTCACACACACACACACAGAGAGAGAGAGAGAGAGAGAGAGAGAGAGAGAGAGAGAGAGAGAGAGAGGTGAGCATAAAGTTTAGATAAATGACATACTCACACAGAGAGAGAGAGAAGGAGAGAGAGATGGCATAAAGTTTAGATAAATGACAAACTCAGAAGAAATGTTCATCATCGTGACATGAACATAAAAACACTGTGGCCGTACACCATTTGAAATGTTGTAATTCAGCTCATACGGCACTCAAAGTTCATTTAAGTATTTTTGTTAGTTTATTTCATTCAGTTATATGCAGGACACGACCAAAAAAATTTAAAAAAAAAATAATGCATGTAATAATAAAATTCATTATCTTCATGAAGCTAATCACACCTAGGACAAGATGCATCAATTGTTCGACGATGATTTTTTAAAGCAATACACACTATAACTTGCGTCAGTTGAAAATATTTAACTTGAAATTTATGTATTTTGTTTACCAAATAAAGTTACGAAAATGCTGTTAACTACACGATTGAAATCGAACGCGTTAAAAAGATGTCAAATTATATGATTATTTATTTTCCTATTAGGAAAGTAATGCCTCTATTTGAATTAATGTATCACACGACACGGTCACTACTTTTAGATTGATAAACAACATGGCGTCGAGAAAACGAGGTAGGCTGTTTGGTATACAATGAAATTTGATATGAATGGCAAACGTCTTATTCTTAATGATACTTATCTTTTAAAGAAGCCGGTATAAACCATCTACTCTATAATGACAGATATTTACTATTTTTCATAATCATACACAAAATGCAACGTACCTCGTCTTCTGTGATTTCCCGCAGACATGCATGTTTAGATTGTTTACGCCCTTCTTTCATCAATATTGATGAAAAGGCAGCTTAATTGCAAATCTTGTATACTTGCTTTGAAATTACAACGACTTATTTGGTAAAATTTTAAGGAAAGGCCAAAGTATTTTTTTTTTCATTATACATGTTTCTGAAATCATTTTGTTATCATTAGTCTGTAGGGTGGTATGTATACAATGGCTGGTCCTGTACTCATTTTGTCTTGATTGTTGCTGTACATATACGATGGATGGTCTTTTAGGCCTACGGTGTGGCCACACTACGGGTCAATAGTTTTAATAGGTAAAGAAGAGATTTTTTTTAAAATCTTCTGAAGTACAGAAGGACTGTTTACTCAGGTGAGCATTGTGGCCAAAAGGCCTCTTGTTCATTTATATTTTCTTATTAAACTTTGATTGTCTATAAGGTTTCCCCATCCTAACCCCTATAATATGATTTGTAGGTATCTACACTAAATGAGGATGCTTCCATATTGCTATGGCTACGCAGCTCTGTTAAGGCTGCATAAAGGGGGCGGGGCCTAATTTATACGGGAAAAGTTTACTGTGACATCACACAAATATAGCAATTCCTCACAATAACAGAAAATGAAATAATTTGCGGTGAGAGGCGGATCAAGTAATTCTTTCACAGTGAAAAATGCATTTTATTATTAAACAGAATAATATTTGAAAATCTTAGGTAGACCATTAATACAAATCTGAAACGTTTGTTTAGTGCCATTATTTAAAAAATATCGAGAGAATGTACTGAATTAATTCTACCGTGATTTTGTCTACAGGGTGTGCATGTTTCACGCCGAGGTGCCTCATTAAATCGCCTTTTCGCAAGGGCATACACTTAATAGATCTTGACCATTTTTTGAATACACATAATGGACATATTCCTTAACTTGAAAAGTGCTGCTGCTTTCCTGAAATCGATAGCATAACTTAATAAATATATAAAATACTTGGTAAAGGTCACACATATTTCGACATTAGCAAGATAACTTGAAATTTAAACTAATAAAATGCGAATTCTATTTAAAGCAGCAGCACTTTTCATAAACTACAAGTTATGTAGAAACAATCTATTACTTTAATTTTTAATTTTAACTAGGGTATGCCCTTGCGATATTGAAATTTGTTTGTGACCTACATACAGTACACATTACATGCATTTATCACGTGACTATCAAATAACGTGACCAAACCAAATTCAGTACAGAGCGGGGTATACAATGTTATTTCAAATTATGTTAAAGTCATAAGATAATATAGTACCTTTATAAAATTAAAATTAATTTTAAAAAGGTATGTATTTATGCACGTTCATATTCTGTTGATTTCTTCGAAGTACGCCTTAAGGTCAAGATCTAGTAAATAAAAGGAGCCTACAGATTTCTCAAATTTGAGAAATGAATTCCTTTAATGAAGCTTTATAAGTATAGCTTGGTCAAATAAGGTGTTTCGGGGCATAATTTGTAGGTAAACAAGACGAAAAATCATATCTTAAACTTTCATTTTCAATGAAAAATTAAGAAAATCAGTCATGAATATGGGAGTTTTTTCCATATCATATATTAAATGTATCCAGATTGCCTACAGTCTCTCAGAAAACGGTATTTTGCATGTTCTTAGCCTCTTCTTTAAAATAATATTAAATTGAATATAGGTTTCGGGATTACTTTTCACATGATTTCAAATTGAATTCAAGAAAAGTACTTTATTTTCTACATAATTCTTTTACAGCTGTAAAGTACGGGAAAAAGAAAGTTTAATTTGATTATGACGTCATAATGGATCTAGCATCAAAAAGGCAGTCTAAAATCATTTACTAGATCTTGACCTTAAGGTCAAGATCTAGTAAATGAGTTTAGACTGTCTTTTTGGTGCTAGATCCATTATGACGTCATAATTGATTTAAACTTAATTTTTCCCGTACTTTACGGCTATTATAGAATTATGTAGAAAATGAAACATTTTCATGGAATTCAATTTGAAATCATGTCAAAATTAACCCCGATACCTATATACAAATTAATATCATTTTAAAGAAGAGGTCAAGAAGATAAGAAAAACTGTTTTCTGAGAGACTGTAGGCAATATTGATACATTTTCTTTGTCTGAGAAGGAAAAAAATCCCATATTTACACCTGACTTCCTTCATTTTTCATTGAAAATAACAGTTTAAAGTCTCTTTTTTCGTCGAGTTTATCTAAAAATTATACCCCGATATACCTTATTTCGCCAAGCTATATTTGTAAAGGATCATTGAAAAAACTTGTTTCTCAAATTTGAGAAGTCTGAAAGCACCTTTCATTTACTAGATCTTGACCTTAACAGTGCTGCGTATAGTTCCCTTGCTGTTCTCATCAGATTTTGAAATTTTTCCCAGTATAAATCTATGTGAAACTTTGCCCCTCCCCTAGCTACTAGTGCAGCACCATCCCTGTACCATTAATACTCATGATGAAAAAAACTGGAAACGATAAACAATTGCGTGAAGATTTAGAAATCAAATGAAATAAATGTTACTCAAGGGCAACGAATATATAGCTGTAACAATGCCAAACATGCTTTGAAAAAGAACAAATACATGTACTATTCTTTCTTTGTTGTCAAAACAGATGTAGGATTTTTTTTTTTTTTTGGGGGGGGGGGGTATTCTTAATCTTTAAACTTATCTTTACAGTGCATACAATATTCAAAGTTCCTGTAATGTCTTTTAGATTTAAATTATATTTTATTCATTTATTATTATTTTTTCACAAACTTTACATTTGACGACACATGGATTTAGGCTAGAGAATTAATTACTTATCAATTCACGGGGACAATGAAGACATGCGATTTTATCTGGTATCATACATGGAGCAGTTAAGACATAACGTAGACTGTGTATTACTAGATCAGGTGTGATAATAAAGATCCGGATAATCAGATACTGTTATTATCCTGTCATGTGTGATAATAGAGATCGGGATAATCAGATACTGTTATTTTTTTCTGTCATGTGTGATAATAAGATCCGGATTATCTGATAGAGTTATTATCCTGTCATGTATCCAGGCATTCAGGTGATAATTATCTTATAGAATAAGACGAACATTGATCCGGAAAAATCCATCTGCAAATTTACATAACACCTTATTTATTCGATACATTTTCAATTAATCAATGTTAGATCCCTCCGCCGTTACTGATTTTTTTTCCAAAAATGCAATCTTCTCAAGAAAAAAATTATATCGAAAATATTTTATGCTATATCTCTTTCCCCCATTTCAACATGTAATATCAGATTTTAATTCAAGCAGTTTAAAAGGAATGAGATTTTGCACTGTCACGTAAGAGATGTCTTTTGTTAAACCCTGTAGGGTGGAGACAAAGAAAGCTGACGTCACTCCTTGTACGAATTGACGATACTCCGGTAAAAATGTCTCGTTCGTTGTCTTACAGAAGTGAGTGGTGTGGCAAACTGCAATAAATAAATAAATAAAATAGAATAAAGCACATATTTACATTTGTATACAGATCGACGTTCGTTACTTACTTTTTTTTATCATTTTAAGAGATTTCAGTGATTTTTAAAAAAATTCTTTAATTATAAGATTTACTAAAACTTACGCTCAGAATTAAATACGTTTAGTAATCTAAGAATTGTCTGGAATAAAATAAATGGGACATACTTGTAGAAGGAAAGCCTACTAGGATCAAATATTACGGTGGAAATACGCAAAGAGAAAAAGCGTAATAGACCAGAACCCCTAGCTTGATCCGTGAGACATGAATTTCATAGTAGTAGGTTAATAGCTAGTTCTGTTAATTTAAATAGATTGCAACCAGGAAGACAGATTTTCTAAGGTATTTTCAATATATGATTATCTTAGCCCTTCTCTAAGGCTATAACCCGGGGGCGAGGGGACCTGGGTTTCACAATTTGGTAGAAAGTTTTATAAAATTGCTCATAATACTCAAACAAACAGTTTGCTTACGTGATTTTCAATAGTGAAAAGAATTTTGACCAACTTAACCCAACCCTGGACCTGAAAACTGGACCCAGGGCTTAAGATTTTAACAATTTTGATACAGAGTTCACTTCTCATTATACTCATGTAAACGGCTGCTGGATATGTCAACATGCAAGATAATTATGTCGACATGAAAGATAATTATGTCAGCATGAAAGATATTTATGTCAACATGCAGGATAATTATGTCTACATGCACGATTGTTATCGACATGCGCCTTATTTATATCAACATAATTATATCACATGTTGACATGAATAAGTTTACCCAGACAGGCCCGTAGCAACGGTTATTTCCCGATCATGTCAAGGAGCACACGGAGGGTGTGACCGGTCGGCAGGTGATGCTCACTCCTCCATGGCACCTGATCCCACCTCTGATGTCTTAGAGGTCCGTGTTTGCTCTGCTCCTATTTTATATTATTATACTTTCATGTTAAATACTAAAATCTGATTGGTTTAGACGCATTTAACAATCCGTAATGTTACCCTCAGCGTTAGCAACACACTTGACAACGGGTAACATTACGAAAATATCACATGCGTTCAAATCATGCGCGTACGGTTCACCGTAGAATTTTCAAAACGTCGGTTGTGCGTTTGAAAGAAGCCGAATAAACGACGTCAATATAAGCTTGCGTCCGATGTAGCTTACTTGAAAACAACAAACGACAGACGAAACATCCTTGCGAGTGCAAACTTTAGATGATAAAGGACTTTTTGAGTAGCAAACAAACAATAAAGAGGTTGGTAAATCTTTTCCGAAGCTTTCTTATTGAGAAAAATAGAAGCGGGGAGTTTGAAAGCTTTCTAAGCGTGACCTTAACGACGATCTCCGAATTTTTTTTATGACATCCGAAATCAAAAAGACATTCAGTATAATAAAATAAATAGTGCACGTTTTTGAGGGTAACAGTTGAAATTGACACCCCTCGGAAAACCATTGTCAACCTCCGCTGACGCGTCGGTTGACAATGGTTTTCCTTGGGGTGTCAATTTCAACTGTTACCCTCAAAAACGTGCACTATTTATATAATGTTTAATGGACTTTTGAGCTCGAATACTATTCGTTATCTCCACATATTTCATTTCAAAAGTGGGGGGGGGGCTTCCCCAAAAAAGTCTGACCAAAAAAAAAAAAACAAAACAAAACAAAACAAAACAAAAAAAACAAACAAAACAAAAAAACACCCTCCCCCTCAATTGCTGTCCAAATTCTGGAATTTGCCAATGTTCGACCATACGGCACCAAAAAAAGAGGGGACCAGCATCTGAAGGAAAATTTACTATTATATAAAAATTGCATGTAGTTGAGTGTAACATTGAAAATTTTCACCCCAAGAAAACGATTGTCAACCGAGGCGCAGTCGAGGTTGTCTTATATAAAAATTGCATGTAGTTGAGTGTAACATTGAAAATTTTCACCCCAAGAAAACGATTGTCAACCGAGGCGCAGTCGAGGTTGTCAATGGTTTTCGAGGGTTGAAAATTTTCAATGTTACACTCAACTACATGCAATATTTATTATATTATACTGAATGTCTTATACAAAACATGTAACAGTGAACCGTGCGCGCATAAATTCTGCGCAGTCACTATTTTTTGGAATATCACCCGTCGTCAAGCAATGTTGACTGTTGCTACGCTGGAGGGCGTGGCTTCATCATTCAGGGAGTAATAGTATACAGTTATGGAATGGGTATGAGGGAAATAGCAAATTTATGGTTCCCCGAGGGAGGAAATAGTTTCCTGCCGAGGGGAACCATAAATTTGATATTTCCCGAGTACCCATTCTATAACTGTTTTATTATACCGAAACAAACAAAGGAGATTTATTAACTAGAGACTTAGACATATTTTAAACTATAGAGGTATTTATATAAGTAATCCAAAATGCACGTGATTCCAATTTCGTTTAATATATAATGCATCAATACGGAAAAAATAAAATTATTTAAAAAAAAAATAGTAATTTCACTGACATTTCGAAGGATTATCCTTGTCCCTTGTCCTCTTTTTGCTTAGAAATTCCAGTATGATTTTTACATCGCCAGTCGAAATGTTTTGACGTCATAGTTACATTGCTAATAACATAACGTCACGGACTCGAGATTCTTTCAACGCTCCGCCCACTGTTCATTTTAATTGGTTAAAATTAATAATAAATATTCATGAGGGAGTAGTCCCAGGGAGTAGCTCTGATTTTTCAGGGAGTAGTCCTCAAATAGTATCTTCTCGGGGAAATAGACAGTTTTATGGTATTAATTTCATATAGAGTAATAAGAGTAGAGGTATAATAATGTTTTTTAACAAATGTTTCTCGACGAATCAGATTCAACTTATTTACATGAAAGTATAATATAACAAAATACTATACTAAAAGAAGTTGGTTGTACACCTGTCATACTAAAATCAGATTCTCTATATAGAATGGGAACCTTTATGTACACATTATTATCTTGCATGAAGACATAATTACCTTTCACTTATTATTCAATCTGAAATACTAGTATTTTGAAGGAAAAAATAAAAAAAAAATTTCTACTGGAAGATAATCGATTGCAAAGCATTAAAAAAATTAGAAATCAATTTGGCACGAGCAAGAAACTGTATTAAAGTTTCAAAAAGATTGGATTGGCAGTCATATGAAAAAAATTAAATTTTTGATAGAAAGTGTTTCTATGGCAATGGTGGTCTTCTGGGGGAAAATGAAAAATTTTCCACTAGAAAGCTTGAATTATAATGCAAATAAATGTAAGAAATTACTCTGTTGTATTTTAGATTTAATTTTAGCTAACCCTGAAAACAATTGAACCCTCAGTCTGCAGTACCTAGTAAAATTTCAAATCAATTGAAATGCATGTACCTAAATTATATATCAGAATGAAGCTTTATGTTTTATTTTCACAAGTGTAAATACCAAAATTCTACTTTAAAAGTAATTAAAAATGATTTAAATACGAAACAATAATTCAATTCACAATAAGATACATACGTTTCCAGGGCACTGGGTCCAGAATATCACAATGACCAAAATTCTGGTAAAACATAACAAATATTTTATTATATGTATTCTTTGTTTTAAAAAAATAACACTGAAATGTTAATTCGGTAAAGAGTTGACAGTTTAAATGTCGTTATCATTTGTTACAGCCATTTATGACAAAAAGAGTAAGAGATCATCCATCGTAAACATACCACAAAATTATGACAACACGAGTACAGGACCATACATCACAAACATACTGACTCAGTCATGACAATACATGTACTAAATTATACATCGTATACATACAGCCCCTAATCATAACAAAACGTGTACAGGACCATCCATCATGTACATATGTACATGTACATGATGACAATACGATTAAAGGACCATCCATCCTATGCATACTACCCCAATCATAACAACACGAGTAGAGGACCACCCATGGTATAATTATATTAGGGATTTCAATTTGTAATCGGTTAACCGGTTACTCGGTCGGAACGATGGTAATCGGTTAGAAAATCTGTAATCGGTTAGTAGGAAAAAAATTAATATATGTGTAAATTCCTGAAAATTCAATTTAAAAAGTACAAATAAAATTTTCTCAAATGTTAGCATGTTCACCTATCTAGCTAAGCTGATTCAGAGATAATTAAGACTCTCCAGATTGACATCGCGTGGGGGTAATTGGTCACTTTTCAAGTCGTTAATTGCTGTTTAAACACATGTCGTTACCCACCCTGTCCCGTGTCGAAGGATATTCGACCTTAGATAATATACTGACTTTACATTTTCTTACAAATATGGTTATGTCTTTCAAAAAGAAACTTTTCTGTGCTTTTGTTGACTTTAAACAGGCATTCGACACGGTGTGGAGAAATGGGCTTTGGTACAAATTGTTAAATAATGGCATTAGTGGTAAATGTTTTACATTTATAAAAAATATGTATAATGGAGTTAAGTCCCTTGTGACTATGAATGGTTTTTCATCTGAGTTTTACAACTGTAACATTGGTGTACGCCAAGGAGAAAATTTATCGCCTCTCTTGTTTTCTATGTATATTAATGATTTAGAAGAATTTCTCATTAGTAAAAATGTGCATGGGCTATCCTTTAATGCAAGCAGTTCAAATACTGTAGAAAACCAATTTTGGCTGTATTTTAAATTATTTATTTTGTTCTATGCTGACGATACAGTTATGATGTCTGAGTCTGCTGAGGGTTTGCAACACGCTCTTAATGAGTTTCATTCGTATTGTTTACAATGGAAACTGAATGTCAATGTAGACAAAACAAAAATTATGATTTTTTCGAAAGGTCCATCTGTAAAAAATGTATTCTACTACAATAATTCTGTTATTGAAATTGTGAATGAATTTAAATACCTAGGTATACTATTTTCCCGATCCGGTTCATTTTGTAAGGCTAAAAAACATTTATGTGAGAAAGCTCAAAAAGCCATGTATGGTGTTATACGAAAAATTAGACAATTTAATTTACCAGTAGATTGCCAGCTTGATTTGTTCGATAAAGTTGTCACACCAGTACTTTTGTATGGATGCGAGATATGGGGTTTTGAGAACATTGAAATAATTGAACGCGTCCATCTCAAGTTTTTGAAATATATTTTTAATCTGAAAAGTAGTACTCCTAGTTATATGGTTTATGGCGAAACGGGTCGATTCCCTTTGTATATAACGGTGTATATAAGAATGATATCACATTGGGCAAAATTACTGGTAAGCCCTGAAAATAAGATTGTTTATGTTACATATAAGAATTTATTTGAACAGTTTTGTTCAGGAAGTCATAAGAACCCTTGGATTTTATGTATTAAGAATATACTTGATACTTGTGGCTTCTCAAATATATGGAATGAACAGGCCTTTTTAAATATAAAATGGCTAAAAATTATAGTTGAACAACGTCTTAAAGATCAGTACATACAGAAATGGCAAAGTGATATGCGCGATTCGTCTAAAGGTCATATGTATAGCATCTTCAAAACAGAATTTGGATTTGAAAAATATTTAGACTTTCTACCTAAAAAATTTAGAACAATTTTAATTAAATTAAGAACAGCAAATCATCATCTCCCAGTTGAGACTGGGAGATGGTTTGGAATTCCCAAAAATGATAGACTCTGTAATATCTGTAATAATGGACAAATAGCTGATGAGTATCACTATATTTTAGAATGTCAATTTTTCTCAGAATGCAGAAAAAAGTATCTACCTGGTAAATATTGTAATAGACCAAATTTCTACAAATTCTCAGAATTGTTGTCAACTGCTGACTCCAAGGTATTAATCAAACTATGCAGCTACATAGATAGGGTATATGAACAAGTCTGTCCTCCATAATTATTATTATTATTTATTTATTTTTTTGTTACTTTATAATTTGAATGTATTTCCGCCATTTCACGTGTATCTTGTATATTGTTTTTGTATATATTGTACATAGAACCTCATGTACCATTAATTGGTTTGAGTGAATAAATTGAACTTGAACTTGAACTTGGTTTAATGATTTTAATTAAATGGTCGTTGACTTCTGTTACCCTTCCAGGTTAATGTAAACTGTACACTTTTGCATCATGTATTTTGTTCGATATTGTTATTTGTATTTTCTCTGTGTTGTTTTACACAATGTGAGAATTGATTATAATGCATACACTTTGCAGTTACCTATCAAATTATATTCTAAAACAAACATCGTAAGAGAAGCGATAATTCAGACTAAATTTTGATTATGGCGAAAATGCAGAATGACATTTTTTCTGAAAAGGAGATGGGTGAACATGACGAGAGATAAGCCTATAGTGTGACAAACATGAAGATGAAAAATTAAATTTCAATTATATCAAAATTTTCCTTGATATTTCGTCTAACATAAAAATATACTTTATGTAAAATCTCTACAATTAGCAAAAATCCCGCAAAGATTGAAATCATTTGCCTGTGAAATATTAGACACACACAAAAGCGGGCTAAAAGAGTCATTTTCTCATACTATAATACTATTTTTCGATATGCGTGGGTCTTCGCTCCACCTTTTTGAAAGTTAATCCTCAAAGTTTGCATAAAATAAACATTTTTTGGTTACCAAAAATATGGAGCAATGACCCACTATACATTAAAAATATACTTTTATGACATAACGTTCGCAGCTTTTCGAGAAATACTTGAAGTCCATTAAGTCAGGGGTCATATCACAAACATGATTTAAATGCCACACACCATCAGGACTTGTGTTGTCTAGTGGTTAGCGTGCTAGTCTCGAAAGAAAATGATACTCAGGATTTTTATTGCTAGGGTTCGAACCACACGAATACCACATTAATTTTTTAATAAAAGAATAAATTTTGCGGAGAAAATTTTCCTCAGAAAAGTTTTGTTTATCATAATTTCATAAATTTCAATAATGAGAACTTTACTCTAAATACTAAATTCACAAACTGAACGTGGTTTTTATATATCTGAAGCTATAGGCTTTCTGCACGCTATGTTCGCCCATCTCCTTTTCTAATGCATCTACGACCTTAGGATGTTTTAGGGGTATTTTAATTTTTTTTCTCTTTTCTTTTTTTCCTTTTTTTGCCCATTAAAATTGAAATACAATATATGTAGTATTCTGATCATATATAAATATAAGCATAATATAACTACATGAACATCTTTATTGGCTTACTTATTCGAGTGTAGCTATGTCGAGAATTTTTGATACGATTAACCGACTAATCGGTCGGAACGTCTTGCGGTTAACCGATTGGCAATTCTGTATTCGATTGCGATCCCTAAATTATATAGATCCCTATTCATCACAAAACAAGTATACATACCACCCCAAGCATGACAACAATGCAAGAGACCAACAGTCGTATACATTCCACCCCAATCATGACAAGACGGGTACTGGACCATCCATCGTATATATACCATCCCAATCGTGACGACAAGAGCAAAAGACCATGAAATATGGATATAATGAACAGTACTCAAGATCAAAGTCCATTCAAACAATACAAATCAGGAGCAGAGCAAACACGGACCTCCAAAAACATCAGAGGTGGGATCAGGTGCCTTGGAGGAGTGAGCATCCCCTGCCGACCGGTCACACCCGCTGTGTGCTCCTTGTCATGATCGGTAGATAACGGAAAAATCCGTCGACAATTCAGTGTAAATAATGGCCTAACAATTAGTATGAAAAAAGTCAGTCAGCATATGACTTAATGGTGGATTGTACTTGTTGACAAGCTCATTGTATCGACCATAGAACTTACGAAATGATGACTTTAAAAGAGACTGTTGATATTCTCATTTCATCAATTTGTTTGTCAATAATTACCTCATTTTAGAAATTGTTCATACGTAGAGCATGCTCTTGCGTATCGAATCAACTGAGAGATATGCACCACATATGCAGGTGATAAGGATGTATTGCTGCATAAGTAAGGGAAGTTGACGACTGAAAAGTTAAAGTCATCGCGTTTATCATAAAGCTTTGTTGTTAGATTATCATTTAAGTCTTTTACTAGTAAAATATCAAAATATGAAACAGATGTGTCAGACTCTGTGGTATCTTTTTTCAACCTCAGGGGGAAATATCGTGTCGACATATGAATGGAAATAACTATTGTTGTTAATACGTCGTCGATATATCTAAATGACGAGTTGAAGGCCACAGCAGGAGGTTTCTTTTTTCTCATGTATGAGATTTTGAATAAATTCTGCTTAATATGAATACAAAAATAAGTCTGCTAACAATGGGGCGCAATTGGTACCCATGGGAATTCCAACGGATTGTTGGAAGACCTGGTCTCCAAAAACCACAAAGATATTGTGAATCAGAAATTCAATATCTTTTTAATATCAACTTCAGAGTACGTGTGTGTACAATCAGAATGTTTTTTAACAAAATAATTTTGCAAATGACCAACTAAAAGGTAAGTACATTTATGAGTTCCATTTTTAATTTTTTATTGAAAAAGCAGCTGTCGGTGATATGTCAAAAAGCCTGGACTTGGGGAATGGTTGTATACCGAGTTGAAAAGTAAGTTTTTATGTTATTGATTTTGGTAAAATTTTGTGATTTCAAATTTTCCACATGTTCCTTGGAATTTTTAAGTATCCACATCTGATTTTCACCACTTCTCGAATACATTGTTGCACAGTACTCTTGGAGTTTCTCCTTCACTACTGTTAATATTTTAGCGAGAAGTAAAGAAAGGGGCACGGTAGAACATTTACTGAAACCCGCTATGTATCTTTGTTTGTAAGGATTTTTATGAAGTTTTGGAATCCAATCCATCGTATACATACCACCCCAATCATGACAAATCGAGTATACATCGTAAATATAAATGAATATACAGGCCTTTCCATCGTACAAACCGCATCGTTCACTTCCCGCCAATTTTATGACAAATCGTCTATCATACATACCGCCACATTCATCGCCACATGATCGTACATTTTACTTACCGCCACATTCATCACCACACGAGGACAGGACCATATATCGTAGAGCTTATTGTAATCGAATCCAGGTATGGCACATTTGACACCCTCCTCTGAGAGTTGTGTTCCATACATCAGAGCGGGCATGCCATTCTTGATTGGGGTTTCGATTTCCGTAGTAAAAGGCTCCAGGAAAATGGTGGACTGTAAGTAAAACTCTGCTCATATTACATGAAACAAGAGGCAAAGGGCCTTAATCGTCACTTGAGTATAATACAACACCATAAAGGATCCATAGAAGTAAAAAACAAAAACAAATCAGGATAAACTGATATGTGAAGCTACATGTAGCCATAAAGCAAGATAAATTTAATGATTAGGGATCAACAAAATAATTATTCAAATGCTCTTACAGAAATCCTAAACAAGATCAATTTACTTGCGTATACCTACCCTCATTGGTCACTGTTATTTTGAAAACAAGGTTTAACAAAAGTTCTTGAACACTATTGGTAAACCCATCTCATACCCTCTCACATTGGCCCCTCTTGGTCTAAGATAAGGTATTTTTTGTCTCATTTTTCTTTATCTCTAATTAACCAGTCTACCTGACCATTAACTTTTAAATTACATTATACTAGTATACAGTGATTAATTATCATAGGTGAATAGCAAAGGGGAATAGCTTCTCTCGGTAGAGGACACATTAATAGAGCCCTGCTCAGCACCAGGACACTTGACCGAATGGTCTGGTTAACCACTACCCTGGGACCACAAATTTCAGATTCTGGAAGATGCACCCTTGTTCATCATAACTATGCACGATGTTTATCTGCTTAACACCCAGAAGAAGATTTTCAAAGAATTAATGCATTTTCACAATATTATCAATAGAGCCCCATCCTAACTCATGAACTCCTGACCCAGGGGTCATGAAATTCACACTTATTGAATAGGCATCCTTGCTCAATGGACTATGCATTTAGTATGTTTGCTAAATACCCAGGAGCAGAGAAGATTTTCAAAGAAATAATTCAGTTTCACTACATAATCAATAGAGCCCTGCTTTAACATTAGAATCATGAAATGGATTTCAGAATTTTAGTAGAGACACCATTTCTCTTCAAAACCATGCACTTAGTTTATCTGCTAAATATCCAGAAGCAGAGAAGATTTTTCAAATGCATTTTCTCCCAGAACCAGAGCCCCCTAGAGACAGTGGCCGAGCAATTTATATTTCAGAAGAGGCACACTTACCCATCATAACCATGCACTAAGTATGTTTGTTAAATACCCAGGGGCATAGAAGATTTTCAAAGAAATAATGCATTTTTATGATATATTCAACAGAGCCCAGTCCAAACACCAGAATCCCCGTCCCTGAGGCTATGATTTCACAATTTTGGAAGAGGCACTCTTGCTCATCATAAATAGGCACTTACTTTGTAAGAGAAGAACATTTTCAAAGAAATAATGTATTTTCATTATATAATCAATATATTAGCCCCCCCCCTCCCCCGTCGTCCAAAAGACCAACATCCGACCCTGCGGCCAAAAAATTGGAAGAGGCATCCTTGCTCACCAGTTAGTTCATTAGCTAAATAGGTAGCAGCAGAGACGATTTTCAAAGAATTAATGCATTCTCACAATATAATCAATAAAGTCCTGTCCTAACACCAAAATTCCTGACCCTGGGGTCATGGAATTCACACTTATTGAAGAAGCATCCGTGCTCCTCATGACTTTGCACTTAGTTTGTTTGCTAAATACCCAAGAGTAGAGAAGAAGATTTTTCAAAAATTACTACATTTTCACTATATGATCAAATACAGCCCTTCCCCCATCACCAGAACTCCTGACACGGGGGGCCAAGAATTTCACAATTTTGGAAGAGGTACCCTTGCTTATCATAACCATGCATGTTAATTATCTGCTAAATACACGGGGGGAGAGAATATTTAAGAATTTATGCATTTTCACTATAAGATCTAAGAGCCCCACCCTAAGTCAAGAATTCCTGACCCTGGGGCCATGAATTTCACAATTTTGATAGAGGGCTCAATGCTTTTTACAATCATGACAACAGTTCAACTGCTTATTGTCCAGGAGTACAGAAGATTTTTTACAGAATAGAAGTAATTTTGATGGATTTAGTCCTACCCTTCAGCCCCCAAGGGAGGGGATAATGAAATTCACAATTTTTGTTCCTCTTCATTCATATACTAGTATGCTATATGCTAAAATTGGTTGGAATCGGTTGAGCGGTTCAAGAGAAGAAGCTGAAAATGTTCAAATATTAACGGAGGACGCAAATCACACGTCGCACGACGACGGACAAAAACAAATAGAATATGTCACCGGAGTGACTCAGGTGACCTAATAGAACAATTTAAATTCCAATACAATTCACTGTCAATTACAATTGATTTTATGCAGAAACAGAAAAATATCTCTTTTGTATTTTCCGACTAATAGCGTCCCAAGAAACAGAAATGGTGTCTGAAGGAAGTTTGTCAGTGCGATATTTCAATAATTTATTTGAAAACAGTTTTACTGTTAACATTACAAAAAAGCTAGTCATTTTGACCTTGAATGCTGAAAAAGCTTACAATCGTTTTGAATATTTCTGTAAAGTTTCAGGAAATTTCATTTTGCAATATTTAAGATATGAGTTCTAGTATATCATGTATTGAAAAAGATACACCAATCAAGGATGTTTACCCCTGATACTTTTGTAATATTCACCATCAAAAGCTTAATATCCCCAACCCCCAATCGAATCTAGAAAAATGATCCCTGATTGTCCTCTTTACACTGAAAAAAACTCGGAATTTAGATCAATTTATAGTATATTTTGTAAATGGGTACAAAAAAGTATGTTTATTTAAAAATATCAAAGTACACGTAGTGGAGCATTGATTGATCATGAATATCAAAAGAAAGAGGTTAATATATCGATTTGCAAATATATCATCTTTATAATATTCATGGTCAATGGTGGTAAAATAAACCTTAATGCGTTTCCTTTCCTGCTCAGAATACAAAGGACTAGGATTATAGTTTTATGTTCTTGTGTCAATAGTTTCAACGACCTGTCCTCAAAGGTAACTGCACTTTCATTGAAATAAGTGAAAAGGGTATCGATTGTTTTCGCTTTTTTTCAATACCACCTCATTGATTCCCCATTGTAAAGAAAAGGGTGAAATGTATGTGTTTGTGTTGGTCAGATGGATTCATACTAACGTTCTTTCAAAACTGTTAGTCATACCAATAGTCTCGAAAAATAAAACACGTACTGTGAATAATGCGCCTTTTTCTTTGATCATCTTCATGCTGATGTCACATCCGGAAGAATGACAAAGCAACCCTGTTAAGTTAAACTTCGGTGTGGAAAGTGTTTTATTTCTGAAATACGTCTCCAGCTGAAGAAAAATTTTATATCATTAAGTTTTTAATTCACTTCAAACTCAATTGAGGCACATTTGGCTCTGCATTGATCCTTGCCAACTAATATTCTTTCACCACCCACACACAAACCAGAGAAAAAATTCTACCGCATAGGTAAGTTTTAAGAGGGTTGTTCTAGAGCCTTTTTAATATTAAGGTGTAGTCTTTAATTTATGCGATACCTTAACTGTCAACTTGAAATAAGTAATACTAGTATAGACAGATTCCTACCCACGTCAACTCCTTAAAAAATTTATCAATATCCTGTTTCCCATAATTTGGTTTCTGAGGAATATATCTATCGTCATATACAGGAAACTGGTAATCCACTCCAAACACGAAGAAGCCGTGTGATGCAATAGAAGACAGGACTGTAGAGTATAATTCTGCCAATACATAGGTGTTGAGGCCGCCCAGAAAGTACACCACAGGATAGTCACCAACCTCTAGAGGGAAAAACGCTGGAAAATGCCAAAAGAAGAAAACATTTGTTGTACAAAAAAAAAAACAACAAACAAACAAACAAAACCAAAACCAAAAAAAACAAAAACAAAAAAAAAACAAAAAAAAAAAACAAACAAGAGGCCCAAGGGCCTTAACGGTCACCTGAGTATAATACAACAATTTAGAGGATCCATAGAGTATAAAATGAACTGAAAGGTGAAGCTTTGTTGCCCAAAAGCAAGAAAAATAGGGTGATCAGGATTATCAAAATAATTAGTCTAGTATTCATTAAAAGTTCATAAATTGGGTTCTAATCTGTTCCCCATTTATCACTCTCACCAGACAGTATGTTAAGAAACTATCAGTGCTTCTGTACTCTTTTAATTCCTTGTGGAAATCTCTTACATTGGCCTGAGTAAGACTCTTGGTCTTTGATGAACATTTAAGGTACTGGTATTCCATCCCTAATAGCCTCAGATTCAATGAATTTGAATACATAACAGATGTGTACGGGTGGAATACTCAGAATATTTAGACATAATCTACATTTATTACTATTAGCAGTAAAGAATGGAAGTGTCCTAATTTATGACTTGACCTTTGTTGAAGAGTTATCTCCCTCTTTTTTTAAGTAATAAAAATCAATTTTAAAAAAATATACGATAAAAAAATTGTTTTCACAATTTTGGTAGAGTCACTCTTGCTCATCATAACTATGTATTCAATTTGTTTCAATAATACCCAGGAGTAGAGAAGAAGATTTTCAAAGAAATAATGCATTTTCATTATATAATCAAAAGAGCCCCGCCCTAGCACCAGAACCCCTGACCCAGGGGCCATGAATTTCACAATTTTGGTAGAGTCACTCTTGCTCATCATAACTATGTATTCAATTTGTTTCAATAATACCCAGGAGTAGAGAAGAAGATTTTCAAAGAAATAATGCACTTTCACTATATGATCTATATAGCCCCGCCCTAACACCAGAACCCCTGACCCTGGGGCCATGAATTTCACAATTTTGGTAGAGTCACTCTTGCTTATCATAACTATGTACTCAATTTGTTTCAATAATACCCAGGAGTAGAGAAGAAGATTTTCAAAGAAATAATGCACTTTCACTATATGTTCTATATAGCCCCGCCCTAACACCAGAACACCTGACCCAGGGGCCATGAATTTCACAATTTTGGTAGAGACACTCTTGCTCATCATAACTATGTATTCAATTTGTTTCAATAATACCCAGGAGCAGAGAAGAAGATTTTTGAAGAAATAATGCACTTTCACAATATGATCTATATAGCCCCGCCCTAGCACCAGAACCCCTGACCCTGGGGCCATGAATTTCATAATTTTGGTAGAGGGCTCAATGCTTATTACAATCATGCCAACAGTTTGACTGCTTGATGTCCAGGAGTAAAGAAGAAGATTTTTAAAGATTGCATTAATTTTGATGGTTTTGGCCCCACCCCTCAGGCCCCAGGGGGCCAGGGGCCACGAATTTCACAATTTTTGTTCTTCTTCACCCATAGATGCTATATGCCAAAATTGGTTGAAATTGGTTCACTGGTTCCAGAGAAGAAGCTGGAAATGTTCAAAAGTTTACGACCGACGAACGACGACGGACGAAAAGAGATAGCAATAGGTCACCTGAGTGACTCAGGTGACCTAAAAATTTTGTAAAAGCATCCTTGTTCATCATAACTATACACTTGTTTCTTTGCTTTATAACCAGGAGTAGAAAAAATATTTTGAAAGAAATTATGAATTTTCACTATATAATCAGTAGAGCCACCCCCCCCCCCCCTTTCACAAGAACCCCTAACCCTGGGGCCATGAATTTCACAATTTTGGAAGAGGCATTTTTGCTTATCATAACCATGCAATTCCTTTGTTTAAATAATACCCAGGAGCAGAGAAGATTTTCAAAGAATTGATGCATTTTCACTATATAATCAATAGAGCCCCACCCTAACAGCAGAGCCCCTGATTCAGGGGCCATGAAATTCACAATTTCTGAAGAGGCACTCTTGCTCATCATAACTATGTTTTTAGTTAATTTCTTTAATACCCATAAGCAGAGAAGAAGATATTCAAAGAAATAATGCATTTTCACTATATAATCAATAACCCCCCCCCCCCTTCACCAAATCCCTTGACCCAGGGGCAATGAAATTCAAAATTTCTGAAGAGGCATTCTTGCTCATCATAACTATGTACTTAGTTAGTTTATTTCATACCCATAAGCAGAGAAGAAGATTTTCAAAGAAATAATGCATTTTCACTATATAATCAATAGAGCCCCCCCCCCCCCCTTTCACCAGAACCCCTGATCCAGGGGCCATGAAATTCACAATTTTGGAAGGGGCATTCTTGCTTATCATAACTGTGTACTTAGTTAGTTTATTTTATACCCAGGAGCAGAGAAGAAGATTTTTGAAGAAATAATGCACTTTTACTATATGATCTATATAGCCCCGCCCTAGCCCCAGAACCCCTTACCCTGGGGCCATGAATTTCACAATTTTGGTAGAGGGCTCAATGCTTATTACAATCATGCTAACAATTTGACTGCTTGATGTCCAGGAGTAAAGAAGAAGATTTTTAAAGATTGCATTAATTTTAGTGGTTTTTGCCCCACCCCTCAGGCCCCAGGGGGGCAGGGACCATGAAATTCACAAATTTTGTCCCCCTTCACCCATAGATGTTATATGCCAAATTTGGTTGAAATTGGTTGAGCGGTTTCAGAGAAGAAGCTGAAAATGTTCAAATGTTAACGCACAACGCACGACGCACGACGCACGCCGACGGACGAAAACGGATAGCAATAGGTCACCTGAGTGACTCAGGTGACCTAAAAAACAATTGCATTGCAAATGTCTAGTATATTGGAAGGTAGTAAACATAGTAATCAAAAGCAAAAAAAGCCACTGTTTCTTCTTTTTGCAATATTTGAAGTATTAAAAGACAATTTTACCAACAGTGTGCAGCGGACTGCCATCTCCTGTCTCGCTCAGTGTAAGTTGTCCGACTCTCAGAAGACCCTGCTTGTACGGATTTCCGTAGTCCACGTAAATTCCAGATACAATAACAGCTTAAGGAGAGAAACAGGGGATAATATTCATAATGTGTAAGTGACTTATTTTTTGATTAACGATGCAGACATTCAAAATAGAGACATACCTTCCAGACATAAGCTAAGCAATGTTAGTTTCATCCTGACCAGTCAGAGTTTTTTTTATCTACCCAGACATAACAATAAACAACGGAGTATGTCACATGCATTCTTGTGATAACGGTGAACCTACATATCCATGTATACCTGTTATTATCTATAAAGATATATTGTACAATTGCAAATATTGTGACCTCTGTCAATATACAAGATGACCATTGGTAACAAAAACCATTCTGATAAACTTGTTAAACCCATTCTCGGAAAGGAAAAAACATATACATTCGGCTACCGGTACATTTAGCCGCATATTGACGTAATTATACTGCTAAGTTACTGCGTATTGAAATAAAGGTAAAATCTTTTTAAAATAGCTTTGGAATACAGTATTGAATACAGTATTGAAATAAAGGTAAAATCTTTTTAAAATAGCTTTGGAATACAGTAACACTTTATCCAGTGCATAAAGTGGTAATGTGTGACAAAAATATTAAAAATACTCATTTTGTCTATAAACGGAAATGATTGTGCATTCAGGCATTCAGTTTCTCTTCCTGTGCTTTGTGACCTATCATAATTCTTTGTGAAGCGTTAATATTGCAAGGACCTCAAAGATATACTATTAAGAAATGAATATCTTAAACACTATAAAACATGTTCGTTTAATGTATTACAAATGCTCGTAACGAATAAGTTCTGTTGCAAAAGCTTTAAATCCGGCGAATGTTTCTTCTCCGGCTGGGATGATGTAGGAAGTTGGTGCCACAAAACCGTGGAGACCTGTATCCCGGAGCTCCACGGTATAAGAGTACTTGACGCCACATGCGCCCTTGGCATAGTCGTCTGCTCCACCAGCCGCAGCATCTTTAAAAATAACAGTTTCTTCTTCATCTCAGTCATGAGCAACTGTATGGGATTCAATTTATTTTTAACAAGGTGCAAAAAAGAAAATTCAAAATACAGAATTCCATTCATGAAGGTTAGGAAAGAAAAATCTAATACAGATTGAATGACGAAACCTACAGAGAATCCTTGTGAAAACTTACATAAGACTCGGGTATCCTCGCCTACGGTGAAAGATTTTCCATGAGTATGACGAATAGCTGTTGCTGCTGTTCGCCCAAGGTGATCCTTTTGAAACAATAACAAAATGAAAACCATATAAACCTAATAGATTTTCAAAGTCTCAGACGCTCTTTTACTATTTTATTGAATATAGAAGCCAGAGAGGTATAGAATATCTGAATCACTGACATATGTTCTTTTATAGACTACTTACCAGATCCCGGTAATCGGCCGGTAAGACAGGGGTGTATCCCCACGGGTAGATCCAGTATTGTCCATATGTATGTACGTTAAGGTAAGCGAGGAGATTGCCATGCCCGCAGAGGAAATTCTGGATATTCCTCGTTTCTATTTCTGAGGAAGCATGGGTACCTGAGTGGACTTCTTCACAGGGGTTGTGACTCCCTCCATTGTCTGGAGGACAGAGATGGATTATGACACACATAAACACCTGTTCAAGGTACAAACTGTTTTACGGAGGGATTCATAAATATTGACATACATGTGTAGGGAGCTTGCATATTTATCAATTTATGAGTATCCGTACTTACCCTTAATATCTAGTCCATCAATTAAACTTCAGTTAAGGAATGAATTTATTAGGTACCCATTTTATACGGTATAAACTGTGTTGGGGCAGTTTACGCTTTATAAACCGCGAAGCGGTTTATAAAAAGCGTAAACTGTTCCAACCCAGTTTATACCGTATAAATTGGGTAGGTATTAATTTCATTCCTTATAATTTAATTTCCATTCATTTAGTGTAAGAAAAAAAAGATTGCCCTTAAAAAATGTCTTTAATTTGTACTAAATTTGAATGTAACGTCAGGCGGATCGATACGTTTTTGACGCAAGTCATTGTGACGTAAGCAACCCAATTTATACGATATAAAGTAAATTTTTTATCCAATCAAATACCGCGTTACAAACAGAATTAAATTATTGAAATATAGAATTAAGTCGTTCAATGTTTCGTCAAAATACCCTGTATTATATCTAAAAAGACATGATTGCTGTAAGGGCGATAACTTGCTTACTCTCTTCTGTGCGATCTCGCCTCATTCCAACTTCAATTTATATACATTTAAGTCTCTGTATGCATCAATATATAAATTCTATTCGTAAAAAGTATGTATTTGTATGCCTCCTAGGGGACTTAGTGAAATTAAAAGTGCTATTCTGTGACCATATAAAACTGCAATGAATTACGGTTTATTACCTGGATTCCAGTGGTAAGCAAAGTTTCTGTTGAGATCCACACCATTACATCCATGGATAACAGGTCTTCTGTTCTTTCTCCACATTCTGTCCTACGAATGGAGAGAGGAAAATCTCTATATAGTATTTTGCTTATTCTCATAAGTACTAACTTATTACAGCCGAACGAGTCTATTATTAGAAAACATCGGAATACTTATATTACTCAATTAATTGTAATTGTAATAATATTAGGATCAGTCAGCAACAGTTTTCGATTAGATTTGTTTATATCTTACGCGTGTTCGACCTTAGTCGTAGCTGTCTGGATTCACTGTGTGTTCGATTAGATTTATTTACATCTTACGTGTGTTCGATTAGATTTTTTTTTAATCTTACTTGTGTTCGACTGTACTCGTAGCCGTCGGGGTTCACCACAGGGGCGAAGTAGAAATCAAACGTTCCTAGCAAAGTCTCGATGGTTCTATCGTGTGTTGGATTGTGTGCCATCTGTAAATCATGGAAAGTTTCCATGAATTCACAAAAAATAATAATAATAATAATAATAATAATGATAATAATTTATACTTTGAACGTTATTGCTAACTATGTATTTGAATCCAAGTATATAAAATTGTGTAGACTCTCTTCAAGTAAAAAATAGGCTGATGTAGGTTAACAATGATCAGGTACAGTTTAGCAAGGTAGTCACGTTATAACAACATCACCTGGTCAATCATGTAGAGGACTGTGGAGACGGCCAGCCATTCCCGTGCGTGTATACCGCCGTCTACATATATAGCCTTTTTGCTGGATCCAACATTATTGCTTATCTACAAGAAATGAAATCAGAGACTGAATTCAAGAAATACTTTATTTTCTTTAGAGACGTGCATAAGATGTAAAATGTTTTGTTTTCAGTTTTTATTTATGATACCCAGTCGAACAATTAATTTAGTTAATGATCTCTCTCTCTCCCTCTCTCCATAAAATGCACTGAGTGTACCTAATATCTGCACTGTTATTCAGAATTCGCTAAAACGACAATTTCACAGCATGCTGAAATTGAGAACTCTATTAAAAATATTAAGTTTTTAATGTAGAGCAATCTTTTTTTTAAATTCGCAATCTTTTTTTTTAAAATTCCTTAAAAATATTTTGTGAAAGTGAGTTATTTTATTTTACTTTATAAATTATTTCAAATTTTTAAAAAGTTATTAATGAAAAGTTGATTCATGATTTATAATCCATGATTAATCCAGTGTGTGTAATCTAAAAATCTTCTCTTTTTTCTTTTTGTTTTTGTAACATGATGTATAACTCACTATGATGGTTGTTGTAATTTTATACAAATATTTTATACACTTACCTTTATGTATTTAATTGTTCTCCCTTCATATGTATGCCCCATGGAATGTACAGTCACACGAGAATTAGAGGCCAAAGAATCAAGGTAAGAATTTATCTGAAAAAGTTATTAAGTTTTGAATTTTCAAACTACTGGAGTATAGTTTCTTTGAGTGAACAGTCTATTGAGCAATACATGTACGTACCGAAGCATGGTCATTGAAAGCGCCAGTACTGAACGAGGTTGCTCTACGGGAACGAGTTGGTTCTGTATTGTCTATCAATCTGTAATACACTTATTGTATTTATAGAAATTCTAAATATATAAGTTTTATAACAAAGAAAATATTGAAATTCTTCATAAAACAGCTTGCATAAAAACCACAAAGAAATATGTATACTGGGTGTAATTCAAAATTATTTGTTTGCATGTACATACAGGATAAGTCTTAACTCACAAGAACCTATCACCATTCAAGGAATAAAATTCTTACACGGACTTAAACAATTCTTACAAGTCAAATCCGAAATTTGTTGCAGATGACCTACTTTTGGAGATCAATGATCCATTGTTTTGCTTTGAGACCAAGGGATTCAACGTCATGAACAAAGTTCGCTATTTGTTCAGGGTTCACGCGGACGTCAAACGTCTCGTTCAGGAACCTTGGAGATTTCCAGATGTCCAACTGTAAAACAAATATCCACTGCAGTGTGATCATTGAGTTCAAAAATTTAAATTTATTTTATATTTAGCAGTTCTGTCGTAATCATCTTGATAAAGACCAATCTCTCAGGAATAAATCTCATCCTGTTGAATACTTCACTATATACAAGGAAGGATGACTATTCGAGTTCTTGTTGAATATGTTCAACGGTTGTAATTGGTTGATATCACTCACGTGGTATTTCTGAGCCAGTGACATCAACTCGTGAACATCTCCAATTGTTTTGGGCAATATCTGAAGGACACTATGGCTGAAAATATAAAAGATATTCTACATAATTCTGTTTTCAGTGTCAATACTGATACACACATTCATTTCATTCTTATCGATAATTACTAGTACTTTCTTTTTGAATAATTACAGAACTGCATTTAGTTTGAATTATTCCAAGCAATGAGCATTTGAATTTTTCAAATAATTTAGTATACTCCAAAACCTCAAAAGTATACATGACTTTCCACATTTCTTCAATGTTGATTTATAACACTTTTTACCACCACCCCCTCCCCCAAGAGGATAGTGCCATATTTTTGCCTTCACTCCTGTTACCTACATTTCTATCTAGATTACACGGCTTTACAATTACTTTGCATTACTAGGTATCAGAGACAAGGTAGAAATTATATATACAATTATATTTTGATACATTATTTATGCTGAAATCAAATGGGAATTTGTCCTGGCGTATACTTTTGATTTTATGTGTTACCCGTCGTATCTCTTGGTTGGACTTGGATAAGAGAAACAGGAGCCAATAAACACTAAGATTAGGACGGATTTCGTCCACATTGTATATCTGAAAAAGTCTACAGTATTTGTATCGAACAGCATTTTATTTTTATTAATTTTAGGCGTATCTTATTAATTCATATTTGTAAAAATATACGATTTTAGGAGTCCTGAGTATCATTTGTTAGAACTTACGTGTATGAAAATTGTCCGATTGTCCCAGAGTACAGTTACGACCAGAAGGATTGCATCACATTAAGGCACGAGGTCAGTGATAAGATATGAATATACACGTTCGTCTGTTATAAGGTGTCTATTATTTTTATCAAAGTTGCATGCCAGTATAATTTTTTTTTATATCGCTATGAGATAAAAATATAAAAAGACTTCCTGTACCGAACTTCGCATATATAGTTAATAGAGCATAATACACAGTCATTTGAAAAAGATCATGAATGTTTAATATTGAAAATCTTATTGATCTGGTCAATAATAATGTCAAAGCTTTGATCCACATGGTAACTGAAGAGGCATTTTTCATTTTCGAAAGTCATTGGGAAAATATGACAGTAAAACTGTTAAAATCCTTGAGTGCTTTAAAGGTAAAAATATAAGAGGGAAATATATTGTGTGAAACCAACAAACCTAAGATTGCCTGTACTGTGCAGCCATTCCACGAAAATGGCTGGAAAAGATAATTCTGTACATAGTAGCTCAGGTAATTTATCATTAAACATTGAGAAATTGTTATAAATAAATACATGTAAAATGTGAAGATAACGAAGTGCTGAAAGTTCAAGTCCAATTAAACAATATAAATTGTGAGCAGAGCAAACACGGACAACTAAAAACAGTAAAAACAGAGGTTGGATCGGGTGCCATGGGGGAGTAAGCATCCCTTGTCGACCGGTCACCCGTTGTGTGCTCTTTATTCGGGAAACAACATACTGAAGTTATCACAAATAATGAAAGTTTTTTTTTTTAAAGATTTGAGTGGTCGAAACCGAAATCGCAATTAAAAAGCATTATTTTAAAAATATCATTTTTAGAAATAAAGCTTAAACTTGATTCAAAAAAGGAAAAATAGTCAAGTAACACTTGTGTCCATATTGTTTCGTGACAGCGTTGTAGTCTCATTGTGACATCAAATAAGCTATATACGGAAAAATCCGTAGATTTCAGTCAGTATGCAAAAAGTCAGTCAACATTCGATTTAACGATATATCGTATTTGCAAACAAGGTCATTGTATCGACCATTAAATTTGCAAAGCGTTGACTTTAAACGAAATTGTTGATATCCACGTGTCTTCAACTTATTTGTCAGTAGTCTGCCTCGTTTTACATGTATTAGAAATTAATCGTATGTAGAGCATACTCTTGCGTATCGATTCAACTGGTAGATTAAAGACTAAAAGTGTAGAACTCATAAATAAATGTGGTAAAACTTTAACAAAATCGGATGAGGGGAAAACATTATTCTGTGCTACATAAATTTTCTATGAATATTACTATAAAAGGGGCAGAACTTTTGTCATTACATTATTATATTTTGGTCAATATCGTTCATTTTTCTACCTTGAAGAAAAATGACTCGAATTTAATTGTATATGATATACAATTTTGGACTCTTTCAGTGGTGAATATGGTTTGTTATTCACCAGAAAAATATCCGGCAATATCGACTACATGTATCTATTAAACTGCTGTTAAATAAAATGCAATTGATTTCCAAAATAATTTTTAAAAAATATGAACTTAAATTCAAAACATCCTTTTAAAATTTATATAATTATGTATGTGAAATGATATAAAATAGTAGCAAAAAATATATATATTTAAATCAGATTAAGCTTTCATGAAAAGCAGAAATTTTCTTTTGAATACTTGATGGATCTATGATTACATTGTATGTCCCTTTTCTAAAGTGATTCCTATAGGATCATGAAAAAAGCATGTCTTCCCTTCATTAGATTTTCTTAGATTTTTACTTTATATATATATATGCCTCGTATATGTTAGAATCTGTTTACATATTTATATTAAGCAATGAAAACTTTACAATGAAAACTTGTCATTTTGTTCTTGATGGATTTCACTGAACAAATCGTGTATTCAAATCATATAGAGAGGCAATTTGCAGGTTATGGCTTAGGGGCTTAGGTTGTACTCCTTTCTAAATGAACCAAATGAAGATCATGTTATGTTCATTACGCCAACGCTTGAATATAAAGAGTTTTGGATTTGCGTTTGTGTTTTAAAAATCGGAATTTTTCATTTTGCTCCAACCGGTTTCATTATTAGATATTCAAAATGGCAGGGAAAGGAAAGGGTGGTCTTGACAAAAATAATAAATATGACCGACAGATAAGGTTTAGGGTTTACTTGATAACTTTTTTGAGTGATAAATATATATTGTTATTTGCTTTTGAATTTCATAATTTTTCTTCCTCCACAATCTTTATTTATGCCACTGGTTCGTTTTTTAAGGTTGTGGGGTGATCATGGACAAACTGCACTGGAACAAACTCGGGTTTGTTTGATAAATGCCACGGCAACTGGGACTGAAACTCTGAAAAATTTAATTTTACCAGGTAATTCTATACTAATTTTTTTCTAGGTAAGCAATACTAAGTTGTGCTTGCATTTTACTCATCCTATATGGCTATAACTAACAACTACAGTACAGGAATCCACACTTTTCAAGAGTTATGTCCCTTGACGGCCATCAATGGGGAATCTCCCAAAGAGTCTTGCAGCAGCCTTTGTGCATTTGTAACTTTAACGTTTTTAACGTTTTCATTTGATGTGACAAATTGTTTGTACCTTGCATTTAAATTGCCTTAATAGGACACTATAGGCTTTGGGTTCACATACTTTGAAAGTCAAAGACATAAAAAATTAAAATCCTGAATTTATCACACTTGGTAGCATTAAAAATTTTTCTTCCCTTTTGACCTTTGGGTTTAGCCCATAAAGGGACTCAGTTAAAGATAAACACGCTACATAGCAATTATGTGAAATAAAATGATTAAAGGATTTGAGAAACATGATGTGTAAAAAAAAAAAAAAAACTTTCCACAAAGTGTTACTAAATAAGTTGTTGTAATTACAAAACAATTAAGCAAGATCTGCGATTAAGAATTCAGCCTTTTCTTGAATATTGACGAAGGAAGTGCATAAACACGCATAGCCAACGAGGTACTTTGCATTTTGACTACAATTATGAATAAATGGTTAATATCTGTCATTACAGAGTAGATGTTTAATACTGGTTGTTTTAAAAGATAAGTATTTTTAAGCATTAGAGGTGTGCCATCCGTGTCGAAAGTTATTTGTATACCAAACGGCCTACCTCGTTTTCTTGACGCCATTTTTGTTTATCAATCTAAAAGTAGCGATGGTATCACATGCTGCATTAATTTAAATAGAGGCATTACTTTCCTGGCAGGAAAATAATTATAATTTGAGATCTTTATAACGCATTCATTTTCAATTGTGTAATTTACAGTATTTTTGTAACTTTATTTGGTAAACAAAATAGATAAATTTCCAACTTTATTTTTAACTGACACAAGTTATAGCATGTATATCTTTAAATAAACATTTTGCAATGTGTGGTAACATATTTCATTAGTCTATGTAAGTAGTACATGTACCTGTAAGTACTCAATGATCACTAAATATTTCATTCTGCAGGAGTTGGATCATTTACTATTGTGGATGGAAATAAAGTGAAAGGAGAAGATGTTGGCAATAAGTATGTTGTGTAAATTACAAGGAAATATCTTTAGCATACAATTATATAGTTAATTTAGTTTTATTTAAATTTATTATATGAACTCTTAAGTCATATTTACTAATTGATGTGTTCTATTTGTCCTATTCAGCTGTTTGACTATCATTATGTCCATTTTAAAGGTGTTCGTAAGTCATGGTCATGATTCAATTGAATTCAATGTTGTTGTTTTTTAATTAAAAAGAATATTGGTAGGATAAACTGAACATTATCAATCAAAATAATATTTTTATGCCCCCCTTCAAAGAAGGGAGGGCATATTGCTTTGCTGCTGTCGGTCAGACGGTCGGTCTGTCTGTCGGTCCACCAACAGTTTCCGTTCATTTTCTTCTCAGAGGTTGCGCATACTGAAATGAAATTTGATATACAGATTTATCATAAGAATATCTAGAAGAAGTTCTGTTTTGGGTACGATTGAGCAATTTTTGACAGACTTATGCCCCTTGGACTTAGAAAAATTCCAATTATTCGCAGTTTGCATTCATTTTCTTCGCAGAGATTGCACATACTGAAATGAGATTTGGTATACAGATTTATCACAAAGGTATCTAGGTCAAGTTTTGATCTGGGTACGATCGAGCAATTTTTGACAGAGTTATGCCCCTTAGACTTAGAAAAATTCCAATTATTGGGGGGGGGGGGGGCATAAGTGTTTCACAAACATATCTTGTTATATATTAAAAATATGTACATATATATATATTCTTATAAAAATGACATTTTTGATTTTGCATATATTGGGAAATTGTTTAAAAATTTTAAATAGTGAAAGGTACAAAAAAAAGAAGAGACAGTATAAAGATTTTTGTCATTTGTATAAATACAAAAGAAGCATTTATTTTTTGGTGATAAAGTTATCATAAATTAAAAAAAAAAGTTGTTCTAAAATTGCTGTAAAATCATTTAAAATAAAAATTAAAAATCAAAATCTTCTCTGATATTTAGAAAAAATAGACATGTAATCTACTTGTCTGTTTTTGTAAAATCAACTTAAAGTGAAGGTACACTGTAGGAAAGTTACAGCTACATGTACTATATATCCAATGGCAGGTGCCCACAAAATGTCATGCAACCGAGGAAGATCCTTGGTTTCTTTTATGTTACAGTTCCTCAAATTGAACAGATAATGGAGAACAATTAACAAGATAAGATGAGTTTTTGGCTAATTATACTAAATGAGATCCAAGGAGGAGATGGATGTCCTGTTTCTTTGGGTCACATTGTTTTTTCGCAAATCATCATGTTTTACTTGTACTTCAAAATGTTAAGT